TCATATATTGTATGTAATTTAAAACTCAACGGGTATGCATTATTTTAATTTATATATGAAAGGATCTGCATAAATTTGGCCAATCATTTTTTGTTTTGATTCTTTTTTAGAATTACACAATGAATCTAGAATGTTGATCATTACAGTATTTGGAAATTCCAAATTTGGAAATCTCCCTGACTGTATTAGTGTTAACGTTAAATTAAACTATTTTGTACAACGTCGTGTCTACTTTTTTATTATGAGTCGTATCCAAATAAGGTAAAGCAACTTTTACGTCATGTGAAAGCAAAAACCGCGTAAAAGTTAGATCCCAAATTTAGCAACAACATCTTGACTTTCCCTGTTTCCTTTGTACGTACGCATTAGGTTGCTCGTGGATGGATTACCATAAGAGCAAAAAAAACTCAAGTTTTTGATCGTGAACAACTGATATCTTAAATCGGTCGCGTTTACTTCATTGACAATCATTTCGTTTATTGTTGTGTTATATCGAGGTGGTTTTGAAAATATGAAGGTTATGTCGAGAGATATGGTCAAGAGAAGAGTTAGGAAGAGAGTTATTCTTCAACCAAGTCGGAAACCAACCCTTTAAATACATTTTGAGTAGTACAATTTAATTTATTAGACTATTTCAAAGGTTTGTCGCATGGTTGCTTCCAACTTCTTAAATTCGAGATCGTTGACAAAATGAATGCATGGGTTAAAATTTTGTTACCTGTTCATTCAAACAAATAATTGTTCACAAAACAACACTATTTGGAATGTAATTATTTTTTATTTGTCAATAATTAATAAACGTTCTGGTCTTGGGGTAATTCTTGTTTTTTTGACATGATTACCATAGAATTGAGTTCGCAGTATATAAATCTATGTAAATAATCATCAACTATCTCTTTTTTCATAAACATTTATTCCGTCCGTTCATTGATTCATATCCTTTAATTATTCTTGTTTGCATATATTTTTATAATAAAAATTCAATATCCAGTATATCGCTGTTTATTAAATATGTTGATTATGGTGTTAACATTACTTTTATAAAAAAAGAGTCTCGCCCATTTATTTATAAGTCCAATTAATTATATAATTTTATAAAACAAAATAACAGTCAAAGCTCATTACAGTAGACTTTTTTGTTTTTCGTTTATAATATTTTTATAACTGTCTCTCATTACAGTGGAAAAATAAAAAATAAAAAATAAACATATTAATATAGAACCAAGGGTCCATCCGATTTAAGTGTATTTAATAAATAATAAATAATAATAATAATAATAATAATAATATTCTCTTTTATCTGCTAATTAATAATCAATTTCACTGACCCACAACTTCACAGTAGGATCGGGTCTAAGAATAAGATTTGCTTTAGTTGTAACTTTGAAACCTTCAACTTCATGGAACTGGAAGTTTCTTAATAAAATGCACAAGGCAACTTTTATTTCATTTAATGCAAACTTATTACCCATACAAGTTCTTTGCCCAGCTGAAAATGGCATATGCTTGTATTGAGAAAAACCTTTAACTTTTTCTGTAAACCAACGTGATGGATTAAATTTTTCAACATCATCACCCCAAATTGATGCCAAATGGTGAATTTGATAAATTGGTACATAAATTGTTGTGTCCTAAATTAATTTATTAATATTAATATTAATGATATTAAAAGACAATAACAGATGCATAAATAAAATAATACCTTTGGAATAAGATACCCATCAAGAATGACATCTTCCTTTGCTACACGTCCCACAAGTTGAGCTTTTATTATAACATAAAAAAAAATATAAATATATAACAAATGCATTTATATTTATATAATAATCATAACAATATTTTCTTCTTCTTCTTATTCATTATAATAATATACCTGGAGGGGAAATTCTAAGAGTTTCTTTGCAAACTGCATTTAAATATTCCATGGAATTGATTTGCTCAAAATTTGGCTCAAAATCTTTATCAGGAAATTCTTTAACAATCTCTTCTCTGAGTTTGTCTTGAATTTCTTGATCTTTGGACAAATAATAC